ACTTTTTAAGCATTGGCTGAATTGCACCAAATTTCATAGTGTGGACAGGACCTAAGATGCGAAATACATTATTTTTTATGATTTATTTACAATATTTTTAGCCGCATCATTACCAGTGGCTTCTGGGCGGCGTACAACATTAAAACTTAAAAACATTAAAAAGACATGCACATACACACACAAAGAAAAAGCACAAAACAATCGTCTGATCGTTTAAAAAGATGCAATCTCCCTCAATTCTTCTAATCCACAAAAGACTAGGTAACAAAGCAGAAGTTGTCATTAATTTTGCATTCTTTGTGGAAATACATCATTTGTGTTGAAGGGCTACCTGTGCAAATTTTGCTTAATTTGTGCAAAACAGTTCTTGTAAAACAGTTCTTGTGCATGGGATTTCTTTCTCTTGTTGAGAGTTCCTCAATTTTCAAGGAATTAGGAGAATAATACTGGAGTTTCTAATTTTCTCTTGAAAAAATAAGACAAGCAAAGATTTGCATTATAACCTTGTATTCAGTCCATGGAAATAATTGAAAAGCTCTCCAATAGGAGTTATGCTGAAACCTGGAGAACATGGCACTGCTTTTCCCTTTCAGCTTTATATCCTTCATGACTCCGTGACAGAACCTGGAACGCTTCTTGCCCAAGTCCTTTAGCGCCGTGGTCTCCAACCTTGGGCCTCCATATGTTCTTGGACTACAACTCCCAGAAGCCTTCACCACCACCTCTATAGGCCAGGATTTCTGGGAGGTGAAGTCCAAGAACATCTGGAGGCCCAAGGTTGAGGACCACTACTTTAGAGCAACAAAGTATTTATTGTTTTAGCAACTTCTGTGGCTGCATATAATTTTTTTAACAGCATTGTTTCACATGGGTTCACATTTTTAGCTCATAAAGAAGGACATCCAGTTCTAAACCATCAGTATATTGAATAGCAACTGAACTTCATCCTTCATCTGGGCTTTTTGTCCATTTTCTTCCTGCTGACCCTGACAAAACCTAGCTTTGATTCTGTGGAAGACTCTTAAATGTAACAGTAGTTTTCAACATTTGCAATGCTTAATATGCTTACATTTATTAGTTCCTGAAATCTACATGTAAAATGGCCATGTAAATATCTCTCTATTAGGTAAAGGGTCCCCTTGACATTTTTAATCCAGTCGTGTCTGACTCTAGGGGCGGTGCTCATCCCATTTTTCAAGTTGTAGAGCCAGCGCTTGTCCATGTGGCCAGCGTGACTAGGGAAAGCTGTTTTACCTTCCCACTGAAGTGGTACCTATCTATCTACTCGCATTTGCATGCTTTCGAACTGCTAGGTTGGTGAGGAGCTGGGACAAAATGATGGGAGCTCACTCCGTCGCATGGATTCAGTCTTACGACTGCTGGTCTTCTGACCCTGCAGCACATGCTTCTGTAGTTTAGCCCACAGCACCACCATGTCCCATTCATCTCTCTATTAGTCACATCATTTAAGCAGTCCTAGGAATGCTTCTGCCACAAAAAAGAAGGAATTAATTTCTTTTCACATAGATGTGATCTACAGCACTTCTGTTTCCTTTATGAAAGTGTGTAAACTTCTGTGACATTTAATGCAGCACATTTAGGCAACATAATATGTAATAAATGGAAAGTGATCTTTTAGAGCTCCTACAAGTTAAATACAACTGTGTCTATCTAAAGTCATATTGTTACAAGTCATCACACTTTATCTGTCCCATTTACAGTTATGAGTACTGTTTCTTTAGTGAAAAAGCAATATTCCTCTGCCCTAATAGTGTAATTTATTACCAGCCAAAAAGATTTCAAGGCTATCTGAATTTTATTATGCTTCAATATATTTACATTAAAGATGCTTTAATAGCCTATTGCACAGATGAGAAGCAATGTATTATCATCAGAAGGAAGGGATACCTTTTCCCCTTCACCAAAAGTGTCCCAGTATTCCATTCAAATAATAAATTTAGCTAAACATGCCCAAGAACATTATGTCATAACTATGCTGTCTAAAACGTAAGTCAGAGGAGTCAGGAGGTACATGAAATTCAGCACAATGTAGGGGCAGACCAGAACACAATGGTCTCCCCTATTATACTATGCAGCAGCTGGATTTTGCAGGTGTGCTGACTCTAAACATTGAGACTGTCACAAAGTTCCAGTATACCACAATGGCTGAGAACTGAGATCCATAGTGAAACAGGCTTAATTTTATTTCTACTCACTACCTGGCTGACTTTGATCCATTTGCTATCCGCAACCTATTTCATAGGATTATTACAAAGACAAATTGGGAGGCAAGGGTGATGATAAATAAATTAATTGTGAAACACTTAATCATGAGCAGGTCCTGTGTGGCTGGAAGAATTTCAAAAGAAAGAACTAATAAGGTCGAGTTGTATGTGTCTTTCATCCTGTAATAAACACTTCCAATGCTGCAAGAAATACCTATGACACTGTGTGTGTCTAGTCCATACAGTTAGGTCATTTCATTACAAAACTCATTTCAAATATTTTTAACCCATGTGAAAGTTATCATGAAAAAACACTTTAGTGGGAAAACATCCAATGGACAATTACAGTGGTGACTCGCATTGCGACGTTAATTCGTTCCAGTGAAATGAAAAGGTCGCAATGTGAAATAAAAAAGCCCATAGAAGTGTATTAAAATGCGATTAATGCATTCCTATGGGCTTAAAACTCACTGTTCAGCGAAGATCCTCCATAGCGCGGCCATTTCTGGTGCCTCTTAAGCAAGGAATCTGTCCCAGAAAACAGCGGGCGGCCATGTTTTTTCCCCGGTGGCCATTTTGAAACCACCGATTAGCTGTGCAAAAATGGTTTCTTTGCGATGGTCGGTCATCGCAAAGCGAAAATACCCCATAGGGAACATCTTAAAGTGATTGCAAAATGTTCATTGCAAAGCGATTTCGTCACTAAACGGAGTGATCGCTATGCGAGTCACCACTGTATTTGTTAATTAAACAATTGCACATCACAACAAATTTGAGGAAGTAAGGCTCAAAATAAAGTTGCAAAACTTGGCATATTTTTAAATAAAAAGGGAGAATTTTGCTTTAAACATCCTTTTTCCTAACACTAGAACTCTGACAACAGAACTAGGAAATTTTTCACCATCCTCACTGGAGAAAAATAAAAAATGTTGCACCTCCTCATACTTATATATTCCTGGCAGCAACTTGCCCAAGGGATCCATCCACTGGAGAAAAATTAAAAATGTTGCAGCTCCTCATATATTCCTGGCAGCAACTTGCCCAAGGGATCCATAGGTGGCAAGTTATGAATGCTTCTGCCTGGAGCAATTTGGAGGGTTACACATTCTCTGAGTAGACAGGAAATAGTCCTACCAGTAGCATCCCATCAAACAAAAAGAATCCAGGCCAAGGTCATCAGTAATCAGCCAGCAGAAAACAACAACAGTCCAAAGGGAAAATCACAGAGCACAATGATAAATAGTCCAGGTCACTCACAGCAAAGCAGTGAGGGATCTAACAGTGTTTGGTATGTGCAGAACAGTTTTCTTCCCAGCACTGCACATGGGTGAAACAGGAATTTGTATGGCAACGTTGCTGAGAATGCAAAGTTGGAAACGTTCACAAGATTCAGGTGCAGGCTGTGAAGGCTTAGGTCTCCATGTGAGCAGAGAAATGCTATCATAGAAGCCCTTTGCTCCTGAAGAAGTAACTCCTCATAAGAAGGTCTCCCCTGGAGCTCTACACTCTAAGAATGTTCTGCCTAGTCCAAGCTTTCATTCTCTTCTGTTTTCAAGGATTATGGAAATTGCCAGTTCCTGATATGAGTCAAGGCTGCTCTTGTTGGGTAGTATGGTGTCTTGCATCATAAATGGGAGTTATGGGGTTCGTGGAGTTCTCTGATGTTGGCTGCATGTTATCCCCACTACAGAATTCCTCTGGTGAAGCCATGACAAGAGCAAGGAATTTTATCTCATGCCCTATATCTAGAAGATTCCCAGTCAATGCATAGTTATCAGAGCTGCTTAACATACTCTTTGAATATATGTAGTTCAATAAATACCAGCCGGGATTTAGAATAGAGAAGTTTATCTTCAGCCATGATAAACCACTTGTGAGGCCAAATATAACAAGGCTCTATGGTCTTACATACATTATTTAAGCATCATCACTATAATTCGGTGTGACACAAGATCCCAAGAAATATTTGGAATGCATCTGCACCAGGAATAAATCACAACTGTGATTCCTTCAGAAAGATGAAGACTTGGTCTTCTCACAGAACTTCATCTTCCAAATATTTTAACAAAGCACATTGCCACACTCAAGATACTCAGAATTAGAGAGCAGAACACTATTTTTTGATTTCAACAAGTTAAGACTGCAAAAATATTGAGTGCTGTCTTTTTGAAAGCAAACTCCTCTTAAACAATTGAATTTCTGCTACACTGCATGTCAGACTGGGCAACATAAATTAAGTTGCAACCTTCCCCCTCCCCACCACTGCTACAGTCCATTTTATTTACAGAGAACAGATATTTAAAACAAATAGTATACTTACACTCTTACAAAACGTGACTACCCACTCTTATTAGAAATAGGGCCAAAACGAAATATAACTGAAACTATTTGTCCTATCTTCTTATGTATGCAAGGATGTGAAATCCTATGATTGGAACAAACAAATTGGTGGATACGTTTACTCAGAATATTATTTTCAGTTTTTAAAGTCATCTCAAAATCATCTGATTATACAAATCTATTCTAAAAGGGATTTAGTCAGAGCATGGGATTTAGTCATGCATACTTTACTTCAAGCCTCAATGTAAGGTTGATTAAAACACTGTGAAACCATAGTATGAAACCTATCCATTGTCTGGACACAACAGTCTCTGCAGTTTAGACAATGAACATCTTTCTGCATGGCTAAACTTCAGCAAAAAGCAGTAGAGGGAGAAATCCAAATGAAGACTTTCCTTTCTCTAAATCAAAAATGCATTGAGAATCCATGGTTACCTGTAACTGTTAATTCTGTAGTTCTTCTCACAGAAAACAATCCATATTTTAATTCACAAGTGTAATTTCCAATGTCATCTTCTCTGACCTCCCGGATAACAAGAGTGTCCTTTTTGAATAGAATACTTGGTCTCCAGGTTGTGACTTGGCATTCCTAAGCAAAGATAATTACAGTCCCTCAGTGATTACAGTCTTTACATTTAGATTTGACACATCAGCTCTAAACCAGAATCTTAAGGGCTTTTAAAGGTGACACAATACCAGCACAAGTTCATTATACCACTAAACAAAGAAGGCACTTTGTATCATATTCAGAGCTTTTGAAAGGTATTTTTCCGAAGTGTTTTGATATAAAAATATGCGACTAATTGGCTCAGCATTGAAGGAACAAGAAAAGATCCTGAGGTATAAAGATGTGTTGCTGGAGACCAAGGCCAAAATAATCCATACAATGGTATTCCTGGTTATTATGAACAAACCTGAAAACTAGATAATGACGAAAGCTGAAAATGTGGTGTTGAGAAGAGCTTTTCAAATATCAAGGACTGCCATACAAAGGTGTTCTTGACCAAATCAAGTTTGAACTCTCACTAGAAGCTAAAATGATTAAACTGAGGGTAATATAATTGGACATATCATTAGAAGACAATAATGCTAGGAAAAGTGGAAGGCAGTGGGAAAAAAGGAAGATATAATATTCAACAGAGTGACTCAACAAAGGAAGCCATAGCTTTTAGTTTGCAATCTCTAGACAGGAGTATTAGCCGCCCTGAGTAGACATCTAGAGGGGCGGGGTAAAAATTGAATAAATAAATAAATAAATAAATTATTTCATAGTGTTCCTTAAGTCAAAAGTGATGTGATGACACATAACAAAAATTGGCTCAACAAGTACTAAAAGTGTATGCCTTTGCATAATAATCAGTGTCCTTTATGATACACAGATATCACAGAGCTTTCTTCTAAATATATGTATATAAGGAGAAGGATTTATTACTTTGTGTTCTTCCTAAATTAAATGTGAACCTAGGACCACGTAGCATGACAATAGTTTATGACAACTCTCTCTTTGGTAAGTGCAGCTAACTGGCTTGACTATGTAATCACTCACAAAGCTTTAAGACACATTTTGAAGTATTTTATGATTTCTAAAACATGCTGCAGTATTATAATGTTAATTTGTGTCTGTATTAGACAGAAAAAGCTCAATTAAAGCATCACTGTAACAACAGTGTGGATACACATCAGTGACATAATTTCCATACAAAGTTTAAAAGGTCCTTGTACATTATCATCATGTTTGAAACTTCTGATTAAAAGGGTGAAAGGATTGTACTCAATTATTCAAGTCAGAAATTAGACTGACTATTTTTCTGGGAGAAATAAAAAACTGTGAGAAGCAGAAATCCAACTGATGTAGATTTGGAAATCATTGCCACTTCAATCCATGGAAGGCTTCATGTGATGAATTTTAGTGAACTGTTAAAGACAAATAAGTGTTGCCAGATAAAAAGAGGCAACACAATTGTTAAGCAGAGTCAATGAAAAAAAAAGGAAATAAGTAAATAATGTTGGAAAAAAGCAGAAATATTCAGCAGAAAAATCTCTACTCCTAAAATTATCTCATAAACTAGATGCAAACCACAAGGTGTCACAGATGCCACAGAACCCATGAAATTCTACAAACAATTCACATTCTAGTGTAGGTCAGCAGTTCTTTCAGAATCCAAATGTGGAAGTAAAATAATTTTAATAATTTAATATCTTAAATATACTGTGAAGAACCTATTAGGAAATACTACAGTTTTAAATTGTGAGCTACATCCACATTGTCCTAGTTTAAAGGTCCTTTGAAGTAAAAGGAGCTGGCTAGAGATTAGTGAATTAAGTATCGGGCTGCACGAGCCAAAGGTTGGGAGTTCAATTCTCCGCTGTGCATCCCAGAAGCTTGCGCCTGTGCAGTCATGGGCAAGCTGCACAGTCCCAGGATGCCTTCAGAAGGGAACAGTAAACCACTTCTGAGCATACTCTATACCTAGAAAACCCTGGCAAGGGTTACCATAAGCCAGAATTTAAAACCTGATGGCATACTATAACCATTATTATTAAGTGAAATGTAAAATGACCTAGATGCATGAATTTGAATATATTTTTTCATTACTGCAAGAGGCTCAGAAAAATTATAATCTTTAAAACCACCATACCATAGGCTATTTGTTTTGGGGACAAATGCTCTTTGCTGGAATAAAACAGAATAGTCTCTTTATTTTCCTTGGCATTTATTATTGCCTAGGGTTAGCTTTATAAGATGGGATTAGACCTGAACATTGTTGAACAGGATAGAATCACATTTCTGCGGACATGTAGACAAGTTAATACCCTTCTGTTCCCCTACGATTTAGGCAGGATAACGTCTTCTAAATTATCCTTGAAAAAAATCATCTAAAAAAAAAAATCAAATGTTCTAAAACTCTTTGATGATTCTGTCACACTGGGCAAATTCATAATGGCTGAAATCCTGTTGTTCAGTGTAATAAGTCACACTGGAGTAGGCTCATTGAATCAGTGGGGATTTAAGTAAGTCAAATTTCTCAATACTGCATTGATTCCAATGGGCTTAATTCTAGTTGTGATTTACTTTGGCATACTAAGTCACAACTAGAGTAGGCCCACTGAAATCAATGTATTTCATGGAGGAGTTGATTTATGAAATCCCTGCTGATTCAATAGGCCTACTCTAGTGCAATTTATTACTCTAAGCCAGTGGTGTCGAACTGTGGCCCTCCAGATGTTCTTGGCCTTCAACTCCCAGAAATCCTGGCCAGCAGAGGTGGTGGTGAAGGCTTCTGGGAGTTGAAGTCCAAGAACATCTGGAGGGCTACAGTTCGACACCACTGCTCTAAGCAATAGAATTTCAGCTGCTATCTTGAAGCTAGCTCAAGATCTGTAGTTCAGGAGGAAGAAAAGGGGTTATTCTCCAACTTTGTGCCATAGCAGTTCTTGCATACACCCCATGACACTAGAACTTGAAGTGATCCTCTTTATTTCCCACCACCACCAGAGAAGGAAGTGTCAAAAGCTTTTCCCCTCCTCACCCACACTGGCTGAAAGGGAAGACTATAGCTACAGCTGCAGCTTTCTCCTCCCTCCCAAAAAGAAGGCTTTAGAGGTATCAGCAGTGCTTCCACCCAACTGCATGAAAGAGAAGATGAAGAAGAGTCATCCTGACAGTGGAGCTGGTCCTCATTGTGACGCTCAAAAAGTGCTTTTGTTTCATGAAAGGGCATGTACTTGTTTCTGGCAGTTGCTTATACAGAGAGGTACAGTGTACACTGGGCCTTTATGAGGGAAGACAGGATATTCAATTAAATAAAGGTCAATTTCTTAGCCAGTTAGTTATGAAAGTGGCTGATTTGTTTACGACGTACTTCAAGAGTGACACAAAAATTATCTTAAGCGTCAAAGAAAAAAATGTATATAAAGTGCGGATATAATTTCTCCAGATGGTCATTTTACTTAAGAAGTGTTAAAATGCCCATCTAAAGAAAGGAGTGATTGAAGCAGACTTGTTAAAAATATGAAGTCATAATATGCCATTATTTTGAGAATAAATTTTAATCTGAAGTAGCAGGATTTTTAAAAAAATATTTTTCTTCATCTCTTCGTCTGTTTTTAGAAACGTCTTGTGAAAAACCACGAAGAAATTTTATTTTTTAAAAAATACAGACATAGTTTCTCCTCAATTCACTGGGTCAATTTCACACATTTTCTTTCAAAATATCCTTTCTTCCCTACTCTCATTTCTGGGCTAAATCCTGTTGTTAATTCCAACTATCAAAGATTCCACTGAAGAAACTCAATTGATTCCATAACCCTACTCTAGTGGGACTAACAAGTGCATTTAGGCCTTTTATTTTCTGATTGTCTAATTACAGTGGGGTCTTGACTTGAGAACTTAATTCGTATTGGAAGGCGGTTCTCAAGTCAAAAAGTTCTCAGGTCAAATCTGCATTTCCCATAGGAATGCATTGAAAACCATTTGATCTGTATCTGCTCTTTTCCGTCCATAGAAACTAATGGGAAGCTGCTATTCCGCCTTCGACTACCAGAGGGAGATTTTTGTTTCTTTTTTTCTTAGGTAAAGAAAGGTTCAGGGAAGGCAGGGAAAATACAGTCCAGGCAGTACAGTACCAGGCAGTCTGAAGACTGTCTCCCAATCCACTCTCTCAACGCTGGGAGGAGTGAGGAAGCAGACAGGCACCCTTTTCACTGGCCAACAGTTAACTGAAAGTTCACATTTTGCACTTTCCCTGCCTCCCATGTGGGTTTTTTTTAGTTTGTAACTCAAATCTAAGTACTTAAGTCAAGTCAATATTTTCCTATGAGAGTGGTTCTTAAGTCAAAATGTTCTTAACTCAAGCCGTTCTTAAGTCAAATCCCCACTGTATGACGCTTATATAAACCCCAAGAGGCTTTTTTTTTAAAAAAAGTATATTCTAAATGCTGTTCTTGCTCACCTACTAGAGGCTGGACATCACCACAGGCTATACTACCTCTGGATGCAGGATTTCTAAACAACAGAAGAGAATTCAGCCAAACAAGTCTTCAAGTTACCTCAGTCAATAGGCGCTTAACCTTCTTGCTCTTATTTTCCAATTCATTTTATCTTGTATGATCAGGCACAACAACTTGTACAATCTGCACATTCTCAAAGTCAAATGTACGTTTTTGCCAAAACTTAAAAAAAAAAAGTAAAATGTGAGATCGATGTTAAAAGTATGGGTCAATCTATTTCTAGCCCTTGTCAGTTTCACATATCTGCTCAAAAATCTTACCAGTCATTTTACAATAATAATCTGCATTGTTTTCTGCATTGTTTTGATGCACATAAAGATGCACTTAAGTATAAGTCTATATGTATATTTCTTTCTATCAAACAATGCATTTTAAATTTACTCTGATGTGTTTTTGAGCTCACATCAGTCTTAAGAGAGTAAGAAAGAGTGGAACCAATAGGATAATAAAAGTACTTGACAGTCCTATGCGAGCAGAGTGGGGAGCAATGAGGAAGATATACCACAACGCATTCTCGAAGGCTGTTGCGGCTGGGATCTGATGGTTCCCAGCCGTGAAACAGCCTGAAAAAGCCACAACAACCATATACCACAACATTTAGCAGCTGTTGTGGGTTTGGGAATTTACACGAGTTGCAGGTTGCAAGAGACGAGCAGGGGTGTTAAGAACTGCTCATTCATAAGGTTGCCATAAGTCGAAAGTGACTTAACGACACATGACAACAGCAACATTTCTATAGTATTATATATGTGCAGCTATGAGAAGGATGGTGGAAGACAGGCAGCAGATCTGTTTGAAATTGGAAATATGTATGAATAAAACACATTTTTATTTTCAGTTATTACTAAGCAGTAAGCATTGACACATTCCCCCAGCAAGTATCATGTGGCCTCTTTCTGTTTTGCTTAGCATTTTCTTTATTACAGTTTCCTAAATCTCACCAAGCTGCATGTAACTTTCAAGCAAAAATGTCAGATTAATGAAAATGCAGCAGAACGTGACATGAATTTTTTTTTCAGGAGGCAACCAAAGCTTTTCATACATCTTACCTTATACCACAGGATTTCAGGCTCTCTATACGGTGTTAAAAAATCCTGTATGTCTGGGCATGAGATTTCCTTGCTTTTGCTAAGTTCAGCTTTTTCAAAGTATTTCATCTTTGAATTGTAGCAGAGGCCAGTATCATTTTCACCCACTGTCAGCGAAATGGATACTTTCATACAGTAAGTAGAGTTTCTGCAACACAAAGTAATAATAATGAGCAAACAAATGAACAAATGGATAATATCTAATATTCCAGTGAAAGGCTAAAACAAAACCACTCCCAAATAAGTATAATAGGCTTTCTGTGTGTGTTTGTTCTTTGCCATTGTTACAAGAATCTTCATAGATACAATAAATAGGTCTGCACAGAAATTACAGTATAGCTTATTATTTACTTGTTGACTAGAAATTTTATTGTTTGTTTATCATCATAAGCTAGTAATAGTCTTTGAGTTCCTTTGTTTCTACATATTGTATGGGAGAATTTTGTTGTTTAGTCGTTAAGTCATGTCCGACTCTTTGTGACCCCATGGGCCAGAGCACACCAGGCCCTCCTGTCTTCCACTGCCTCCTGGAGTCTAGTCAAATTCAAATTGTTATGGGAGAATAGCTACCTGCAAAGACAATATCAGCACTAAGGAGCTGCATGTAATGGCTGTCAAAGCCCATAACTCTCCTGCTGACAAACACTATTACAACAGCATCCAGGGGTTGAAAGAACCAGTTTAGAGCAAAGCATTCCAGCCCCAACAGGAATCTGAAGCATCTCACTAGGAACTGAAGTGTAAACCAAGCAATTCATCAGATTTAAACAATTTCTCAAGTGAAGCGGTAATTGAAAATATATCCTTCTATAGAATTTAATTCAAATCATCTTAAAGTGTTTGAGTACTTTGAATACAAATTAGTTGTGGTGGCATTGGCATGGAGACAAAAAAACAAACAAACCACCTACTTGCTTACTGTACAGCATCATCCCATGCATACTGACTTTGAAAAAGTTCCACTGTCCAGTAGTTGTGCCTGAGAGGCTTAAAAATAATTGTTAACATGTTTTTCAGCTCTTGTTATATGCAATGCATGGTGCACTGATAAAATTTCTGCACATTCCCATGAAAAGCAATGAGAAACCAGGAAAGTTTACTTGCTTCTTTCAATTCTGTGGTGCACAGTTCTCAGAGACGTAAAATATGCTCCCAAAAAGTTTCTATTTCCATTTTGGTTTTCCGCGTGGGTAGCTCAACAGTATGTTAAGGTTGATCAATTTCTGGTAGTGAAGTGTTATAGCAGAAAGCTCCTTCCCCTACTGTGCTGGTAATACCTTTTGACCTCTAATCTGAAAGAAGTGAATACATATAAAGGATTTTGATACTTGCCCTCATAGATACCATGAGTTCAAGATAGTTGTGATTTATATCTGCTTGTTATATAAATGTGTGCAGAGAAAGTGTCCATTCTACTTCCACAGATAGCTTGTTGATGTCGTAAAGTCACATTTAGAACAAGGAAGTAGGAAAAGAGGCAGGAAAAAAACAGGTTGCTACCTATTATATTCGTTCTTCAAGTGTTCATCTCTACATTCACAGAGCTACAGTTTGGAGCCTTCTAAATGGAAAGAATTTGGGCAGCTGCTGCCCACTCTTGCCTACAGCACGTATGTGAGAAGTCTTTCCTTTGGTTCAAAATACGAGTGACATGATGACAGAGTAGGAGTCAATTGTCAGTGCTAAAGAGGGGGAAGATGGGCAGGTCACATGAATGATGGTAAGCCAGTCTCTCTGGGATACATGTATAGGTAAAGGCTAGTGAACTTTCTTGCAAAATCTCTCAGAAACAGGAGAGAGGGTGGACACATACAGTAGATCACTGGAGAACAGCAAAAGGAACTGTTGCATCACGGAAGCGGTCCTTTTAGATCAGGTATGAGTCAAGATAATAATGTTATGTGAAGGCTGATGTTTGTGATTTGGTAGCAACTGCTCATTACTCAAAAAAAACAAATGGTAAGCCAGTGTCTCTGGGATACATGTATAGGTAAAGGCTAGTGAACTTTCTTGCAAAATCTCTCAGAAACAGGAGAGAGGGTGGACACATAGATCACTGGAAAACAGCAAAAGGAACTGGTGCATCAAAGAAGTGGTCCTTTTAGATCAGATATGAGTCAAGATAATAATGTTAAGTGAAGGCTGATGTTTGTGATTTGGTAGCAGCTTGGCCCAATTAAGGTAAGAGCGCTTCTTTAAGGAAAGCAGTGGAAGTACTGATTGCTCTAGTGGAGCAGCTCGTAGGTACACATGGTAACAGCATTTTTTTCCAAACGATGCTCGTAACTATCAACCTGGAAAGCTATTGGGATGATGGCACAGAACCCTTTTTGCAACCAGAGTAATCTAGGAGAAGATGAGTAATTTTCTGAAGGGGGATATTAGTGCCTTCTTTGCATCCATCATATGCATGATGCAATGGTCCAAGACAATGGCCAGTGATGGGACACAAATGGAAAAAAATAGTACCTTGAGGTGGACCTGATTTTCAGTAGGAAAGAAATATTAAAATAGCATTTTTTCCAAATGATGCTCCTAACTATCAAACTGGAAAGCTATTGGGATGATGGCACAGAACCCTTTTTGCAACCAGAGTAATCTAGGAGAAGATGAGTAATTTTCTGAAGGGGGATATTAGTGCCTTCTTTGCATCCATCATATGCATGATGCAATGGTCCAAGACAGCGGCCAGTGATGGGACAAAAATGATTTTCAGTAGGAAAGAAATATTAAAATATCACTCTGCCATGATGCCAGATCAGGTAAGAAGTCTCTTATGTTGCTAGCTGAGGCAAGGTTGGTTAGGTGGCAGCACCCAGAGCTCTTTTGCTCTTCAATCCATAGTGATGGCAATTAAGAAAGGCACTTGGCAAAATAAATCCATGACTTGACTGAGGCAATGAATTAAGGGCAACACTGTGAGGATCTGTGGCAGGACCCCAATCTGATGAACAGTATTTAAGAAGGACATTTTTGGCAGATTGTCAATGGCAGAGATGGCCTTCTCAGGAAAGTGAAAACAAATCTTTAATACACGTACTTTCAATGCAAGAGGGTCTGGTTAGAAAAGGATGATGGACATGTGTTTTTCCCTGAGACAAAGATATCTGCTGCATCCATCTGTAAGATGAACTTTCCTGTCAATAAAGGATTTGTGTGTGTGCAGATTAAAAGGAATAAAAATGTAAGGGGAAAAATCCTCACAACAAATATAAATATATGAACAAGAATTGAAATGAAGATAAAAGAAAATTAAATGTTTGTTAATGTGTTGTGAACATGGTGAAAAAAGGCTAATGTTTCTCTCAGAGGTTCCTTGTATGTTTGTGCTGCCACTGTGGCAGAAGATAAATCCAGCTGTAACTTCTGTAATGATTCATGGAGAGAAAAAAATCCCCTTTGTGAACCAGGTAAAGAATGTGGATGTCTCATTAGATCCAATGTTCCCTCTGGAGAAATATGTTGGAACTGTGCCCAGGCCATCAATTTTATCATCTGTCCATGGTCCAGAAACTGTCTTCTTACTTAGGGAAGGCTGATGTGACTATGCTGATCAATGCAGCTTTAACCTTGAGATTAGACTGTTCTAATTCACTCTACATGGGAGTAGCCTTGAAGCTATAACTACTACAATACACAACAGTGAGGCTGTTAAAGGATGTGTCCTGTCATGATCCTACATTATCTGTTTTAAGCCAGCTGCATTGGTAATGAGGTTTTTTTTGTTTCAGTTTAAGGTGTTGCTTATTTCTTTCAAAGTCCTACATGGCATGAGACCACATACTTATTGGACTACTTCTACCCATATGAGTCTCTGTGCCAATTAAGGTCATCCAGAACTATCACAACTGTCTGGTTTGAATGCATTTGAAAAAGATTTTTCTGTGTTGCTGCTCCCACACTCTGGAATTCTGTTCCTTAATCTCAATAGGTATGCAGGGATTCAGGCGGGCATGTAAGGCAGAATTGTTTTGGTGGCAAGCATGTTTATATAGTAATGTGTATAAGATAAAATTTTTAGCTTAGGTTGTTGCTGCATTTTATTGCATTTTAGTTATATGAAGCATTTTATTGTTGTGTATGCTACATATCACACACAACAATAAGTAAATCAACCTTGAGTGCTCACTGGAAGGACAGATCATGAAGCTGAAGCTCCAGTAATTTGGCCATTTCATGAGAAGAGAAGACTCCCAGGAAAAGACCTTGATGTTGGGAAAATGTGAAGGCAAGAGGAGAAGGGGACGACAGAGGACGAGATGGTTGGACAGTGTTGTCGAAGCTACCAACATGAATTTGAACCAACTCCGGGAGGCAGTGGAAGACAGGAGGGCATGGCATCCTCTGGTCCCTGGGGCCACGAAGAGTCGGACATGACTTAATGACTAAACAACAAATGCTACATATGTATTATTTTCATGTTGTGTGCTGTTCTGGATCTCTTTGGGAGAGAATGACAGACAAATGAAAACAATAAACAATCAATCAATAAATGGAGCACAACTGAAGGACAGACCTCTTATACACACACTGTAGGCAGCAGGGATGATGCTATCATCCACACTCCCTCAATGTACACAGTAGCTCTGTGGTAACCTGTGGTGGTGTACATGCAGTGCACAAGAACAATGATAAAGAACAGTATCACCAGGAATGAGAAAAGCCTAACTTGACAAGGAAAAGTAAGGTAATGCTAAATAATTGCACTGATCTTAGTCCACCATTGTAACAGCAATGCAGTACCCTTCTTTTTTCTCACCCTTTGGATCCAGGTGAGGACAGGTAGGGATATGAAAGTCTCAGTCTCAGTTTTGTTGCATTTCTTCAAATCCCACTTATCCCACTTTTCTTCTCACAGTTTTTCGTATCACATCACAGGACTTCATGCAAGGTGAATTTTACATTGGCATTTATGTGCATTTATATTCATTTTTCTAATGTATACTTTCATGTATGTATTTTTTCCCAATCTAACACATTCCCCTATTGACTAAAAAAAATGCATGTTTTTTTTTTTTTACAGTTGTGCACATTTTTAGCAGCCTGCATTTTGGAATAACTGTTTCTGCAGATAATTTGTAAAAAGGAATTGTCCGAAGGAAAACACACATCGAAATGATTTTATTAGTCTTAAAAGTGCTGCAAATA